CGGTCTCCATACTATAATTCCATGAATTTTAATACCCATTAGTCACAATACATCTTTATCAGATCACTTTAATTGACTAATATCCTTTAAACAATAGCGCAGCACATTTCAATATACAACGTGTGGCCCCATATATGTTGAAATTATCCAACATCGAGAAGTTTTAACCTTGTCAAATAATTTTTACAATAGGGATTCAAGGCCATTTTCGATCTTTCTTCGATTTTTTGGTAAAGACATATCACAATGAGTCATATGAGTGACATAATTTTTTAATTGTATAACAAATTTCATAGCTAATGAGATTTGCACACATTCCAAGAAGTGATTTTTTAAAAGTTATCTACATCACACGCGGCTATGAATGTTAAGAATGTACGAGGAGTTAGATNTTCGATTTTTTGGTAAAGACATATCACAATGAGTCATATGAGTGACATAATTTTTTAATCGTATAACAAATTTCATAGCTAATGAGATTTGCACACATTCGAAGAAGTGATTTTTTTAAAGTTATCTACATCACACGCGGCTATGAATGGTTAAGAATGTACGAGGAGTTAGATAATGTATGCATGAACGAGTCTGGAAGCGAGCAAAAGGTTGGCACAGAGGCTTATCCTCGACTGCGGGGGCGGAATGTGCTGATTAAAGATGTTCTTCATGCTATTTTGTCGTATGTTGTCAGCCTTTTCCACCTGTCGATCTCAATACTTCAGTACAACCAATTTTTAATAAATCACTTGGTGAGATGTCGATAGTAAAAACATGGTAAAGTGTCGGTCGAACTGAGTTTTCAAAAATTAGAATGATTTGATAATCCTGCCACAGCCCGCGTGTTCTGGTAGTGAGCTTTTAATGAAGCCATTCCAACAGGGGATACAAAAAAGGAATTAAAGAAACAAAAAAACTTCTATCTTATCGATTCAGAATAAAGGATCTTGAACAAGTAGATGGTATCTTAGGTATAAAAACTGAAAGAGAGTGGGATTATTCATTAAATTAATTGCATTGTGTTGAGAATGTGGTAAATAAGTTCAAATATTTGAACATATTCACCCCTTTGGATCCAAGTATAAAACTAGTAAAAAATGATGGAAGAGCAATATAAAAAATTGAGTATAAAAGTGCAATTGGAAGTCTTATATACACGCTACAATGTTTAGGACCGAATATCGTATTTGCGGTTAGTAAACTAAGTAGGATTACTTACAATCCAATTTCAAAATATTAGAATGCCAATGAGAGGGTTCTTGGCTACCTAAAGAAAATAAAAAAACTTGAACTACAATATTCAAAGTTTCTGGCTATTCTAAAAGGGTATACCAATGTTAGTTGGATATTTAGTGTGAGAGAAAATAAATCTACCTCAAGTTGGGTGTGTACTCGTGAAGAAGGTGTAATTGCTTGGAGGTCTAAGAAACAAACATGCATTATACGCTCAACATTGGAGTCGAACATGCAGTATTGCAAAAATTGAGAAAGAGGTTGAGTGGTTTAAAGATCTTTACGAAATTTCTTTGGTTACAAGAGGATATTTCTAAAATAACTATTTTTGTGTGATAGTCAAGCCACCTTTTCACGAGTATGTAACTGGAAGTCTAAACATATGAGTCTAAAACATTACTATGTAAAAAATTAATTAAGCAATGAGTAATTTCTCTCACGTATATAAAATCCAGTGAAAACTTAGTTAATTCGTTGATCAAGTCTTTTACAAGAGAATTAGTAAGATCAACATCGAGAAGTAAGTGTTGAAACTCCTTGATTAAAGATTCATCAATGATAACAACCCTACCTAATTATACTAAATAAGCATATTTATGTTCAAATGATAGTGGATAGTTTCAGCAATATTTTTAAAGCCCTGCCTTTTATAATTAGGGCTAGTCATTACAGTCGGAGGTTGAGTTTATAATTAACTCTTAATGAAGTTCAGTATGAAATACAAATATCTGAAACATAACGAAGATACCGTAAAAACTTTTATATGAAATTCAAGGTTGTACCACCTTAATTGAAAGTTAGATTTTCTCTCTTAAAAGTTCATGAATAAAAATATGTACAAGGTCATAAACGAGTTATGCGAGAACAGTGTAGAACAAAAGAACACTAAAGTGTGTGTGTGGGGTGTCACCGGAACTATTATAAGGAATATTTGGTTCAAAACATTAAAGCTACTTAGGATTTCGACGATTACTTTGTGATGCTTACACTAAATTAATGCTTCAATTCGAAAGATATCATTTATTATATGTATAAACAACGTTTATCTCTTAAACGTAATTATTTGAATAAGTGGGGATTGCTGGAATTATTCAAATAATTTTATCCAAATGTATGCTGGCATAGAACTTGATGATTGATGATTGCATGGCGGTATTTGGTGGCAACAAATGGCGAGATTGAAATTAAAAAAATAAAATATATAGTTTGGGAAGAAAATTTGAATTTTCAGATTTGAACTTTGAATCAAAAGTTGCATCCCTTCCGAATGTTTGTGTTGTTTCATGCAATTAACTATATGTAAGTGATAAGGAGTCACTTAGAGAGTGCACAAAAATATTCTAGAATCTCCATTTTTCTTCTCCCAACATACAAAATTTTCTGAAATTATTTTTAGGACCATGCTACACTCACAAAATATTGTACCGACTCGCAACTTGGCGCCCCACCATTGTAGGGGCGCCATTACAGGCGCCCCTCCAATTAGCATGTACAGGCACCCCTCCAATGGTGGGGCGCCAAATGACGAGTCGGTAAAACATTTTGTAAAATATTTTGTAAGTGTAGCATGTACAGGCACCCCTCCAATGGTGGGGCGCCAAGTGGCGAGTCAGTAAAATATTTTGTAAAATATTTTGTAAGTGTAGCATGGTCCAGCCTGTCATTGGCGCCCCTCCAATGATGGGGCGTCAAGTGACGAGTCGTTAAAATATTTTGTAAAACATTTGGTACATCTAGATTTATCTTTATTTTTACGAGTGTTGGTTGTTCCTTTAACGAGTTTTCACTTATTGCTTCGTGTAAAACTTTAAAAAGCTAGTCATATCCTCTAAATTATTTGTCAAAGTTTTCAAAAGCAATCAAAGTGATAGGAAAGCGTATTGCATACATATTTCATGCCTCAAATTTTGTGTTCTTCATTTATTGGTTCGAGTTTTGGATTCTCTATCTTCTTCTTGTTCAAGAAGCATATAATTCACCAACACTTGTGCTTTCCTTCTACGTGAGATTACTCTTGGTGAAAATTGATAGTGGTATGCAAGGACAGATCCACTGGTGACACGTGTAGCTTCATTCATCAGAGAGGGGAATACCGTGGCACACACCGTGGCCTCGTTTGCTTTTTCTAGTGTATTGTTTCATTATTGAACGGATTGCGTGTCGTATTTCTTGAGCCCGAATGTCACTCGGGATCTCTCATAAATGAATATGGTTGCTGGTAGCTCAATAAAAAAAATAAAATCAATAATGCTAATTGTACTTTATTTTCCTTATATCATTGCTTACGTCTCTTTCGTTTTCAAAAAATTGTTGAAGAGAATTTTTTTTTAAATTGTCCAATAATATGTTGCCAGATGACACAATATAAACAATGATATTCCATTTTATTTACGTCCCTTTTGTTTAAAAATTGCTGCTTTCATCATTAAAGTAAAAGGTCCAAACTTCAAGGATTTGTACCTCCTTCCCCCCACCCTACTCAGAAAATAATCCTTATTGAAAATCCATTGTAAGTAAATTATTTTTCCATTATTTATATGATATTCCATTGAAATCTTTAAGAAATATGTTTTTTGTATTTTTCATGAACAATCAAACATTATTGAGATTGACTTGGTACAAATAATCCTTCAATTTAAGTCGTGAAATCGCAGATTGGGTGTGTGCAATTCAAATCGTTTCTATCTTTCTTTCACCTTATTGTATCAAGAGTAATGTTATTCATCCCCACTGAAATTGAGTCTCAGTTTATGTGGCAATTACATGACATTAAATGATAGATTCATTTAAATACAAAGTCACATGACTCATTTAATTGAGTCATCATTTAATGTCATTTAATTGTTACATAAATTAGAGCCCAACCCCACTAGGGATGAATATCATTATTCTTTTACCAATCGCTCCCCAACTCATGCATCTCTAAGCCATTCAACCATTCATGCATAGTATCCGTGTCAAGATTGACCGACCTACTTCACATTTTCACAAACCCTCTAAGCAAAATTGGACGAGGAAGCGACGAAAAATATAAAAGGTAGGATTTCATCGGATCTTAAACTGTCCACGTTAGAGACAAAAATAATTTGCTTTTCATAGTGTAAAAGAAGTCATCTACTTTATAATATAAAGCAGTTACACACTAAAGTCGTATCTCAATTCTTAATTGTGGATTTTACATTCAAAAAGCAACAAGCATACACTAAAACCTAACATGATCCTATGAAATAGACAGCTTTTTACAAAACATAGGGAGGAAGAAACCAGCTGGAGTCCTAAGAAGTGGAAACCAAATCTTCTCCTCTTTACAACCCACAATGTAAATCTGCAATTTTTGTCCCCAAAAAAAACAATAATTATATTATTATAGAGTGCCCAAAAGATACATTAACGACATGTTCGGCGCAGACACTATTAATATCATGTTAATTATCCTCGGTTCACCTACCGATGTCACCGAGAGATTTCACTTATCAGCCCATAAATGCACGAGAATACGATCATTAATTTACGAAGTACCAAAATACAGAACAATGTAGTTACTGGACAAACCTAACATTTTATTTCACTCAAATAAGTCTCAGTTTGACAAGCTAACAGAACTGGATGGAGTGACTTGATCGAAACAAAATTATGAATTTAGTGACCCAATTGACAGAATTATGAAATATGTGACTCAATCAAGACAGTTGGTATTTTTTCATCCACAAACTAAATATGGAAAATTGTTGCAAAAAATGATACTAACCTCATCCACCAAACTTGTAAGTATGAGTCTTTTTCTTGAAAGTTGATTTAGCAAACATTAAACAAGCAATTCCCAGGCCTATCCCCGCAGCTCCTCCAATAATAATAGCCACTGTCTTCTGTGTGTTCTTCCTTGTCCCTACACTCCCTACACCAAACACATTACACACATATATTAAAACTTTCAACATTTCTTATTTGGGTGGGAACTGGCGGATTCAAGAATCTACGTGATCACGGGCAGATTCAGGTGAACATGGGCGGCCTCTAGATGGCTTTCAAGCTGCCGCCCAATATAAGAAAAAAAAAAATCCAGCGAAACCAGCACTGGCTCGCCAGGTGCTGCTACCTCCTCCCCTGGGCGTGGGGTGGGGTGGGGTGGGGTGAGGGCGGAACTCTTATTTCTTAACATTTTTGAAAATAATAAATAGACACATTCATGTATTCAACAGAACCATTGAGGGAGTAGTTGTTGAGCATCAGGTTGCTTTAGATCTTTCGATAAATCTATCAATGAACTAAAAGGGACAACAGAAAACAATTTATGTTAAAAGATTCCAAAATTGTCAAGAAGAAAACTTAGTTTGATAAATAAGCATACGTAGCCATTTTTTATGCTTAAATACGATTATTAACCAAGGAAAGCCAATAATTGTTCTGATCAGGACAAGTGGGTTGGTTAGTTTCCTCGTCCTATCTACGCATTTCTCTGTCTATGTCCGTGATCATGTTGAGCGAAAGGTACCTCATGTTACCCGTGTATGAAAATTGTGCATTTGTCACACCTCTGATAGAAATTAAATGAATTCAAACTTTTAGACGAGACCGGTTAATTAATAATTACAACTCGAGACATTTCAGACAAAGTGCAGTGTAAATTTCTTTAATATTTTACCTGATGAAAATGATGGGCTGGTATTGGTAGGAACTCCACTGGGATAATAAGTGTAGGTAATATAGCATTCTTGAAGATAGATTTGGGCAGAAATTGAAGCCCCACATTCAGATTTAGCTTTATCGATGGCATTTTTCACACAGTTCACACAGTCCCCACTGCTTAAATCACCTTCACATTGCCCCAGCACATACACTGACTCATACCCACCTGTATAAAATCCACTATTTCCACTCCCCACACCCTTTACTACTTCATCTAAAGCCGAGTTCAACCTGTCATCAAACCCGGTGCCACTTGCCCGAGTTGAACCACAAACCTTGTACAGCAACTCAGTCCCACTCGCTTCTCTAAACCCTGCAATTTCATATCTCAAATAACATCCGTTTAGTTGTACTCTAACAGCAATGGAGTGACCGCACAGCTTTTCGGACATTTCAGAGGCTTTTTTCACGCAGCTGGCACAGTCGGAGTTCGAGAGATCGCCTCTGCATTGAAAGAGCCCATTAATGGCGGATTGGCCTTCTCCGGATGTGGCTTTGTAGAATTTTGTGGTGGAAGATTGGGAGATTAACGTGTCGAAGAGATTTTTAAGCGTTTGCTTGTAAATCCCATTGAAATCCTGGAAATCTTGATTCGCACAGCCTTTGTAAACCAAATCGTTCTTATCTGAAGAGGATCCAACAGTTGAAAAGACAGCTGGAATCAGTAGAATCAGGAGTAGAAGGAAAGATTTAAATAGTTCCATTTCAAGATTTTCGAATATTTGATAGCTTCAATTACAAATCATTGATGAATGAGATTTTTATGGGATTTTGGACTTTGGTGGGTTCTAGAGATCTTGATTACTTTGGCTGAGAACAGAAAATTTTGCGCGTTGCTTTCCCATTATGTACCTTGCTCTGTTCAGCTGGCGCCTGGCAAACTGAACAGATTGTACCAACAATTCCTCATTAAGCGTGTTTGCACAAACTCTAATTACTTATGACGTTTTGGATTTTTAACATGATTAAAAATTAGGCCCTTTATTAATTCCTATTACTTTTAAAATACATTTTCTTCTCTATTCTTTTCAATCACACATTTTTCAATAAAATAATATTACAAACAAACTCAAAACCTTTATCTTATTATTTTTTAACCAAACATTTTTCATCAATCTACTATTCCAAAATGCATTTTTACAAAAAAGAAATAGGGCTCAAACGATATGTTACATTCTTTTATGCATAAAAAAATTATTAATAATTTTTTTATTAAAAAGTAATATAGCCCCTGTATTGTATATCAAAAAATCAAAATTTTAATAGATTTTTGAAAAAAAAAATGAAATATATAATTAAAAAGTTTGTGTTATATGAAATGTGTGATTAAAAATTAATTGTTGATTTTGATTTAATTTTTTATCAAAATTTTAAGCCACACGAAATAGAGTCAAAATTATTTTCAATTTGACCGTCCAAATTAAATTTAAATTTGAAAAATATACAAATTATACTCTATATATAGGATTTAATTACATTATAAAAAATTATAAATATCTCATCATAAATAGTTGAACAGACAACAAAAATGCCTGTTATAAATATCTCATGGGTGATTATATTGCCAACATAATTTTTATCTGATACATCATATTTTAATTGCCATTAAATTTATCAATCTTTGCTCATTTTATCAATTATTTTCTTAACTTTTTTTCGGTTGAATTCTTATTTTCAACCTTCCATTAATTAGTATGTCTCGTCATTGGTGATGTTTATATCAAAATATTTTATTTTCATGCTTTGAAACGAGCGAAAAATATTTTTCGTACTTTTTATTTATATTTTAAAAAATATAATGAAAAATAAGTTGTTTTGTGTCATTTTAACGAACTTTAGAACATAAAAATGTTATCAAATACAACATGTATTTGTTGACATCTGACGTGACAACTTAATTAAGACCGTTTATTATATGCACTTAGCTCGTGATAAAATTGAGGTCGGACCTGTAAGGTAGGCTTGTACTTATGGCTGTCGTGGTTTGAGGGGACACAATGATTATAGATTTCTTACACATTAACGAAATATTCAATTTATTAATGACATTCAAAAGGAGTTATGTCAGCGCCCACCAATCCTACCAACCATATGTTATAACTTTGTTCTCTAATCAATTCATTAATTACTAGGGACCCCATTTAAGGTCGGCTTCATAATTACCTGATGGAGACGACCTCAGTAACCAATAAGGATATGCCATTGACGTACTTTCTCAGTTCGGTACTATATATTGATTTGACAACAACCGATCATGGTTAAAGCCATTGGTACAAATTTCCAGCTCAGCACTGTTGATTAACAAGACATGAATAAGAAAAATTCAGGCCCATTTTTTCCTATAAAAAGGGGCACAAGAACTTTATAAAGGGGAGTCTTTTGAAAAAAAAAAAATGTAGTTCGTAAGTAATTAGCAATAAAAATCCTTATTTTACATTAGAAGTTGGCTTGAATTTAGTTCTTACAATTTTCGACGTCAACAGTTTGGCGCTAGAAGGAAGACCCTAACTTGTATAAGCAGGCCTATCCCCCATAAAACTCACGATAAAAGTATCGTCATGGATGATATTTCAGTATCAAAGAATCAATCCCACACTCATCCTGAATAAACCAATATTCCACAAAATATTGGGAAGGGACGAGGTCAAAATGAAACTGGCGACCTTTAAATGACTATCATGAGAGAATTCATTGACACGTTGACAAATGCAATCAACAAATTGAAGCGAAACCAAGCTCATGTTCTTCCACTCGATACTAAGATAGAGTTCCCACGCAGGGAACGAACCTGACGACTTCCCACCAGGAGGGCTCTCCATTTCTCAGAAGAAGAATTTTCCAAAAGTCGAACAGAAGAGATTAGGAGTTCTCCCGCAACGGCGGATCCGGTTACTAAGAAAGCTAGCAGTGTGTTCGATAGATTGGGATCTCAGCACTCATTAACACCTCGGAGCAAATATGCTGAACCTCGTATGAAACGCCCATTGGAACAGGCAAGACTCGAAATAAGCATCTTAAAAAACGCATTGCTATTCTAGAAGCCAAAAACAAATGAAGCACAGAGGAATATCTTACTAAACGCCATTCCCCTTTTACTGAAGATATTCTTGCTGAACCTTTGCTTGAAAATTGAAAATGCCATAGTTGATTGGGTACAAGGGGGATGGAGATCCCCTTAGCCACCTAGACAAGTACACTTCCTAAATGTAGCTACATGAAGCAGATGATGCTATTATATGTCGTGTCTTTCCACTAAAGTTGGGAGATAAAGCTCAAAGGTCGTTCAAGAGGCTACATCACAGGTCCATAAGAAACTGGAATGACCTCGCCACGACATTCCTAGCTCAGTTCATGGGTATCAAAGTGAGAACCACTCTCAAAGAACATTTGGTAAGCATCAACCAAGGGAAGAGCGAGTCGCTTAAAAGTTACCTCAATAGGTTCAACAAACAGTCCATAGAGGTTGAAAAAATCTTCGATGATGTCGCACTCATCACAATTCTATCTGGGCTAAGGCCTAGAACAAGGTTTTGGTGGTCTGTACATGAAGATGGACCTCAAACATATCACGAATTCCTCAATCGAGCGGAAAACGTATAAGTGCGGAGGAAGCCACTTTGGATCAGGAGGAAGCCAAGGTGAATCCACATTCCCCTAACCCAACAAAGGAGAAAAAGTGGATAAATGATTCAATCATGAAAAAAAGGAAAGACATGAGGACAAAGATTGTCGTAAGCCTTGTTTAGAAAGGTTTCGTGAATATCACCCATTAAACACTACCTTGAAAGAAGTCTTTTTGTAAACATAAGAAAAAGAAGCATTTCGTAGACCCCCACCTCAGAAAAAAGATCCACCAGGGAAGAACCCAAGGAAAGTACTGTCTGTATCATAGGTCGACAGGACACAATATCGATGATTACAGATATTTGAAAGAAGAGATGGAATCTTTAATTCTACGAGGTCATCTGCAAGAGTTTGTAGCTAAACCCCGGGAGACGAACCTGACGTGTAATCAACAACCTTACCAACCTGGGATAGTTCAACGAGGTCAACCAATTTACCAATCTCAAAATCCCCCACCTCGAGCTGAGACCAGAATGTTAATAGGTGGTAATCAGTGCATTGAAGGATCCCTAAGGGTAAGGCGCAGACAAGCGTGAGATGCACGCATTTGCCAGAATTACGATGTAGGACGACCATAGTCTAATACTGGCATTGCGTTGTTATCAGAATGGTTTAGATTTTCGAAAGGAGATTCGCATGGAATTTTACAAGACCAAAGTAATGCTCAAGTAATAACCATGTGTGTTGTTGGCATATAAGTACATCGAACTCTTGTGGATAATGAGAGTTCGGTCAATATATTGTATTCTTGAACTCTGGAACAAATGGGAATTCAGGAACGTTATCTCCAACCATATTCCAGAATGCTGCAAGGATTTTCTGGGGATCCTATTGAATTTCGATGTCAAATTGTTTTGACTATAGAGGTAGGAGAGGTCCCTTGTCAAAGAAGAATTCTAGCGGATTTTGTAATTGTCGACCTATCTTCCAATTACAATGTCATACTAGGGAGACCTATATTGCATCAGCTACAGGCCGCTGCTTCCATATACCACTATTGTATAAAGTTTTTAACTCCAGGCGGAGTTAGCATAGTGCGTAGAAATCAAGCTGAGGCTAGAGCTTGCAACATTGATTTACCTAGTCCTTATAATCACATGTTGAGGAACCAGCAAAATGATCAAGCAAGGGATGTGAGACTGAAGAGACCTACATTAGCTGACCTCACTGAGATTGGTATTACTGAGAAACACTGCAGAAATATAATGGATTACCATATTTCATTCGATGACAAGGATGCAGACCTACATCCTTATCTTGGAATCCCGATGGTTTCAATACCCGCAGTATGAGTCATCATTCCCAAAGTTTTAGTAGATACGTGGAGTTCTCTCAACATACCCTATACCAACGCACTAGAATAGATAGGTATTTCATTAAATTTTCTACAGTACCCAAACATGGTGTAGGACTTAATGGAGCCCTCACCTAAGCTAAAAGGTTGATTAAGCTCTCTGTTGAAGTTGGTGAAGCTCCACGTCAAACTAAGTTGAATGCTGAGTTCGTGGTATTGGATTCCAATTCACCTTACGATGCCATAATGGGATAGCCTTTGCTATTCAATCTCAGGGCAATTGTGTCCATGTACCACTACTCACTTAAATTTCCTACGCCCTATAGTGTAGGTCAAGTTAGAGGAAACATGGACAATACTGAGAAATGCTAGATGAAGATCTGCCCAATAAGGAAGGATGCATACATTCCCCTAGGAGTTTATATGGCATATCTAATTGAATTTGACCTTGGCTCATTAGACCTACGTCTAAGGGTCAAATGGGAAGAACCTATGGAAGAACTGGACATAATGGTGATCCACCGAGGGAGCTCAGAATAGGTCACAAACTCCAGTCATCCATCCGAGGTCAGATAGTAGAATTCCTCCAATAGAACATTGATGTTTTTACTTGGGATCATGCGAATATGCTAGGGATCATCCCAAAAATTGCCTGCCATAGGTTGGGTGTCGACCCTCTGGTGCGACCTAGGCGGCAACGATGACTGTCGTTAAATCCCGAGAGTTACAATGCTCTAAATAAAGAGGTGTAAAAGTTTTTCCTCAACGGGTTAATCTGTGAAGCAA